GTAATAAATAAAAGATATGGAAATTGGAGACATGAATAATTATATTTATTTTTTTTTTTATTTTTTTATATATTATTATTATTTAATTCTATCTAGTAATTTTATTACCAGATAGAAATTTTTATACATAAAACAAAATGTCTTACTTTTCTAATAAAGATAATTTATCTTTAAAACAATATATCAAAATTTTGTTCTATGATGAAGGTGGTGATCATGATAGTGAAATTGTTTTTTTAGTGATTGAATATCTAAATTCTTCTAAAAAGAAAATATAAATCAGAATCAGATTTTGAAGAATCCTTTAAATGAAAGAAAAAAGAAAAAAATTAATTATTTTCAGTGGCCCTATTGGAGTAGAAAAAACTATTTTTGGAAAAATATTATCAAAATATCTTGAAGCCAGAGGTTCAACAGTATTCTATCCTAAAGAGGCTTCGATTAAAGTTTTTAAAGAACTAGAATTGGTATATGAAACTGGTAAAATGTTTTTTTCCAATATAAAATTATTGAGGTTCATAGTGAATTGATTTGAGAAATAGATGAAAAGGATGTTGATTATGTTATATTAGATTGCTCTTCTCTTGAAATTAATATATTTTCAAATACTAATATTGAAAATGAAAAATTGAGAAAATATTTTGAAAAAAAGTATTTGAAATCAATTTTAAAAATTACTATGAAACAAAAGTAGTCTATTTTAAACCTTCTAAACAAATAATGTGTGACCAAAAGGCTAAAAGAAATCAACCTGATGATAAATGTTGTTCTTTAGAATATTTAAAAAAAATTATGATCAGTATGAGCAAGATTTTAATGATATTTATCCTGAACATATTTTATTTGAGAATACTTTTAATCTTTGTGAAAAGTGTTGTAAGAAAAAAAAATATTCTAAAGCTAGTTGTGAATTTTCAAATAGTAAAGTTTTGAAAAAACTTATTTAGTTAACTTTGTATATTATTTTTATCTTTAATCTATTTAGTCTTTGACTGAATAGAATTTTAATTATGTAATCTTCAAGTATAGCTAACAAAAAAAGGTAATTTTTTCTATTACTGAGTTTTTGTTTAGTATTATAACAGATTATAAGTAACGCTATAGGAGTGAGCTTTTCAATATTAGGTTAATTGCAATGAACAGTGAAAAGAGTTGCCTGTGTAAAATCTGTTATTCTATATTTGTGAAAAATTTAGCATTAGAATATAGTTAATATAATGATAACAAATACTTATTTTTCTTATTATTTTTTTAGTTAACTATATTATGCAATTGAAATAAAAAGATTTGAAATATCACATGGCCCAAAAGATATATGTGAATTTATAGGTATACTTTCTAAGCAAGCTAGGGTACAGTAAGCTTTTTTGTTATGAATACAACATATTCATTAAACTCTATAAATGAAGTGAAAAATTCTAAATATAAAATTATTCTTTGTACTGACGTTAATGTAATTAAAAAACTTAAATCAACACAGTTATTATTAGAAAATGAGAATTTGAAAAAATTCTTTTGGTTTTGAAGATTTAAATTTGAAAGAAGTTGAAATAGATACAACAGAACCTGTATTTGTTTATAGAATGAAGTTAATAAAAAATACAGAATTGGTAGTATTAAAATTAAACGTAGTAATTTTAGAATTGATCCTTATCAAATTAAATCTGTTTAGTTAAGTTGACCAAACAGATTTTTATTGATATAATAAAATAAAATAAGACAACAACAATCTTCTGATTATAAATTTATAATAGTATTAGGCCTTATCAGTATAGAGAAAACCACATTTATTCATAAACTTACAAAATACTTTGAAGAAAAACAAATTAAAACATACGCTTCAGTAGAAATAACATTGCAACTTGAAAAAAAATTAGAATTTTTTTATACTGATCCTAAAAAATACGTATTTTTTTTCAAGATATTATTATTAATAAATAGACAGAAGAATTTGAATTAATCAAAGAAAAAAGAAAGATATTTGATGTTATTATATTAGATTGAATGGTAATTAACATGAGAGTATTCACTGAAATAAATATTCGTAATAAAACAAAACAAAAATATCTTAAAGAAAGAGTGAAAAAATCAAAAAAATTAAAGCAGATTATGAGATTTTTGTTAATACAAAAGCAACAACTTGTTTTAATTGACAACAAAGTAGAAATCATAAAGGAAAAATTATTTCTTTAGAATATATGGAAGCAATTTGTGATAAGTATAATAAATTAATTTTGAAAATGTATTCTGAGCATATATTATTTGATATAGATAGAATTAAACTTGATGATTATAATAGTAAATTTGAAAAAATTTTTACTAAATATGATTAATATTTTTATTATTTTAGTTATTTTATTAGTTAGTTGTTATACCGACTAAAATTTTTTTTTGATAAAATGTCTTTACGTGAAATATTGATTAATAAAGAAAAAACAGATTTATTTTTCATATATAATGTAGTTGATCATAATGATTATCAAAAAAGTTATCTTCGTTTATATATAGCCAGTTTTTTTGGTAAACAAAAAGTAATAGATGTAAACATAAAAGATATATTTTTTGATTTAAAATTAAATGATTACTCATTAATTGAAGAGTATTTAGAAAAATTTGAAGCAGATAGTTATGATATTTTTGAATGTCAACCTTTTAATTCAACAGAAAAGTTTCAATTTATTCGATTTTTTCTCAATACATATTTTACGATGAGCAGCTTTGCAAAAAATAAAAGATCAATATGAAAAATATAATAATCAATTAAAAGAAATTGATGACATAAGAAAAGGAAAAAATAAAAAAAAACACCTATTCAAAAAAAAATTAGATGAGATTGAGAGAAAAGTGAATAAAGCAATTAAACAATTCTGATATAGATATGATATATATTCTGATGATATTACATGTTATTATCGAAAAGTTGCACGTAAACATGATTTTGAATTAGTTGGATAGCATCGATTAAAAAATAATCCACATTATAAGACAATTACTTTTAATGATATTGAACAAGTTAAATACCCAAAACAACCAAAATTATTATATCTATATTATGATATAGAAAGTAGTAGTACTCATGGTCCTGAATTTTTATTTGTTGGAGAAGAAAAAGAAGATTTTGTATATATGATACAAATAGTTTTTGTTGATTATCTGAACCAACACCAATAGTCGCTATTGTATAATATCTTTACCAATTAATGAAAAACTTTTTTTTAATCTATATCAAAAGAAGATTCAATACTCAACAACCGCATTCAAATTTATCAAATACCAAAATCAGCAAGAAATTCTTTTAAAATTTTCAGAATTATTTAGTAAATACAAACCAGAAATTAAATTAGGATATAATTTTGGTGGATATAATGAAAGTTTTTTATTCAAGAAAGCTAAAATATTAAAAATAGAAGAACAATTCACAACGCAATTGTTAGAAAATAAATCAAAAATAAAACCTAGTATTAAAGAAGTAAATATATGAGTTGCTAAGCAAAATATTGAAGAAAGAATGAAAAAATATAAATTAGCTAGTTATAATTTAAATACTTGAATGATTAAGATTAATCCTACAGAAACATTAAAATGTGAATATCTTAATATACCAGGAATATTATTTATTAATTTGTATGTATGGGTATATAAGATATTTAAAACAGAAATTAAAAACACTTTAGATATTGTGTTAAAATGTTGCGGACTACTTGGAAAAGAAGCTCTTCTATATGTTTTAGAATTATCTGAAAATTTAGACTATATATTCATATACATAAATGCAATAATTTTTAAACATGATACTTCAGTTTTACAAGATCTGGCAAAGAAATTTTCAAATTTAGTAAAATGTACTTATGATGATTGTATAAAAAGTTGATAGTTACAGATATAGAACTAGAAAAATATGCTGTTAAAATCACATATTATTGCTTTGTTGATACTATACATCTCTATGAATTATCAATAAAATAAAATATAATTGGTAACTACATTTAGATAGCCAAAATAGCTTCTGTTTCAATAACAAACGTATTTTCAAATAGAGTTGGATACTTAGTAAAAAATTTATATAGAAGATATATGGCCAAATATAATAAATTAATATCAATGATGCGTAAAGGAATTATAAAAATTGGGGATAAATATTCTGGAGGATTAGTATTAACACCTGACAAAAAAATTAAAAATAACCGTCCAGTAGCAAATTTTGATTTCACATCAATGTATCCTAATATAATATCATCACAAAATATTTTATTGGATACTTGAATCAATATTGATAATAATATACATAAAGATATAAAAATAATAGAAGACTGTGAAAGAATTTATAGAAAATTTAAAAAATATCATAATAATGAAAAGGAGATAGAATTAATGCCATTAATATATAAAATTCTTTTACAGCAAAGAGGTGAAGCAAAACAAAAAATAAAAGAATTTTCAAATGATCTAATTAAAAAAGATATTATCTTTCAATATCTGACGTATTAAAAGTCTATACAAATTCAATTTATAGTGAAATTAAATATATTTTTTCCCATCACCCCCAAGCGGCAGGTCTAGAGTTCGATTCCCACCAGAGACATTTTTTGAAAAATAGGCCTGTGTTCTGGTAACATTTATTTGACGATCGGTTAGATATATCACCTGTAACCTTGGTACTACTATCTTGTTATGAAAGCTTTAGGGCGATCCAAATCCAAAAAAACTGGAATATTTGAAACCCGTTTGGCAAGACCCGAGCTAGAAGTAGTAAAGATCTTCAACAATACTATGGAAAATCGGAACCGGAAATCGAAGAACCGGATGAACAACCCTGGAGCAAAAAGGGTCCACCAATCTGGCCGCCGGAGTTGCACCAGAGGAAAAGATCCAATGCTACAGAATTCGGAACCAAGGGAAGTAAAACCAGAAAGCACTTAGAGCCTAAGTACAACAACCCTTCCAGGCTAACTGGTTTGGTAATTAGAAAAGGATTGGTATAAGGACCGGTTAAAAGTGGGTATTGGGATCAGAACGAACCTTGTAAAGACAAGGAGTAGATAATAGTAGCGGCTACAAAAGCTGCAAGTACCAGTCCTCAGATTGGGCATAAGTTACTAAAAAATCCAGGTGATACATGTGTGGGACATGGACCACTCTGGTAGGTTTACCACGAAGATAAAGTAGTCCTAAGGGGCCTTAGCGGCAGGAATTCTTCCGAAAAAAGCATCTGACAGCACTAAGTTGATCAGAAAGTTTAAATAGAAGATCTACAAGCGGATCTTAGATATGGCAATTGGTAGGTAACTATAAATAGTATAGCAGAGACAATGACTAAAGTTATATATATGACCAATTGTAATCTTGTTGATGTAACAAAGTCAAGAAGTATCTATTTGGTATCCCGATAATTGAATTGAGAAGTTAATAAACTGTGCCAGACCCCCAAGTGGTCACCTTAATATTTAAAAAAAAAAAAGTTTCAGTAAAGTAGTATATGGGGTCTTTCATATTAAAAGGGCCTATTTTGCAATATAAACAATTTTGAGATAATTGAGTTTAATCATTTGTTTTGATTTTCGAACTGATCCGAGATTGAGCAAATTTCACGATTTTGATTGGTCAAACGTAACAGGTGACTATCGGGTAATCTTGTGCTGTGCTTGACCTTAGACATCTTCATACAATTTTTCTTTTAAATTATCTCTATTTTTTATTATACAAATCACTTTTCATTTATAATTGAAAAATGTCAGTCATGTTAAAATTTACATGAATCTAATAAAAACCTATTTTTCAAAAAATTTGCAAAATAGGCTCTTTTAATGTGAAAGACCCCATATATTTTAGAACTTTCTATAGTATTTTTCTGTAGTTTAGTTTTTTGTTGTATTGTTCAAAGAATTATTAAAAAGAGATTTGTTTAATTTTTAATTTTATTAGTTAATAAATTGGTAATTTACAAATT